GCGGGGGCCGGGGCGGGGGGGGCCCCGCGCCCGGCCGGCGGGGACGGAGCGGGCGGCACCAGCGGACTCTTCTCCTTTGGCTTTGGCGGCGACGGAGCTGGGTCACCGACGGCGACGGCGGCCGGCGGCGGGGGTACCGGCGCAGTCTTGGTCGAAGGGCAAGCGCGGCCGGCGGCTAGCCTGTCGTCGGCCGCCGCCGCGACGGCTGCTGCTGCTGTCTCAGACGGGGGGGACGCCGGCGGAGAATCCCAGCCGGGGGGAACCCTCCCGGTCTCCGGCGGCGATGGCGGCGGCGGCGCTGTTGTAGTGGAGACGGCGTTGTGGCGCCCACTGGACGAAGTCGTGGCCATCGCGGCCAGGTTCATGAGGACCGGCAAGAGGGAGGACGTGGAGGCGGCGTGGATCGGGGAGCGGCGGGCGCTGACTCAGGACTTCAAGCGCAAGCACAAGGACGCCGTCAAGGGGCGACGCGGGGCGGCGGGGGGGGGGCACCGGGCCTCCAAGAAACGGAGGTGATGGCGATGTGGTGCTGGCGTAGTTGTGTCGAGCCGGCCACAGTTGTACGATGCGTTTTTGAGGCGTTCGGTCGGGGTGGGTGAGCGTTTAGGATGTGCGCCCCCTCCTGGCGTGGATTCGGGGCTGCTGGACAGAGGCCAGACACCGGGTGTGTTTTTTGTGACTTCGAAGGAGATTTGGCGCTACCTACCTAGGTTGTCGCGAGCCTCCGCCTTTTATTCAGCGTATTGATTTTGGGGAGCACGCCCCCCGTCTCTTCTGCCCCCCTGCGTTGTGCCCGCCTTACCGTAGGCAACGGAAGGACGATTACTCGTAGCCCCGTCGAAAAAGAACTCCTGCATTAGTGTTGGTAGTGGAAGTCGAAAGAACCTCCTGCAGTGGGAGAGGTGGTGCCCGCCATTGACCGGGGAAGCTCGGAGGGTTCCGTTCAATGTCTGACGGTGAAATGTCCATCGAGAGTCGGTAGAGTTCCTCTCAGGCTATCTGTACGGGGCGTTTCGAAATGATTGTCGTTGTCGAAGAGCTCGCCTCTCGCGCCCTCAGCTTCTACAACTTGTGACGAGGCTGTTTTGTTTTTTTTGCGGTGTGAGTTGAACGGCGTTGATTGTTCCAAGCCGCATGACGTGTACAAGAAGCTACAGCAGTACAGCGTCGCCGGCAACGAAAGACCCCACGCCCCTGCTTCGAGGCTCGTACAACCCGTCTGTACACCGAGCGCAGCTGACTTACGATGATCCCTCGCGCTTGCGGAGCTATCGGGTCCTTCTCTCCGCTTGTCTTGAACTAGAAGGAAGAAGGTCAAGACCACTGTAGCGGCTGTGCTAGCTTGCCGGATGACAGTCCTTTCTTTGAAACCCCGACGGCAAAAAAGCAAAACACGCACACCGTCTTTTCATTGGTCAGCCGATTAGCGCGGTCGGTGCTAGTAGTAAAGACACACACACCACGCGTATAAAAGCTTTTGCTCTGGGGAACGTTCGTTTCAAGTGGAAAGAACGGCACATTGCAGTCCATGAAAATGTCGCCGGTTCATCCTGAGCGATTGTAGAAAACGACAGCGAGGGGCGTACAGTCAGTCAGTGTGGTCACAACACCACCCAGTCGGGATGAAGCAGCGCAAGGGCGCGGACGAGAAAAGGTGTCGGCCTGTACCACAAGAGATGGTGTTCAGAACAGGAAGGTTTTGACCCCGACCAGATAAGGTGTTGCCCGAATGAGACAAGTTATCCACCCGTGCGAGAGAAGAGGTTTTGACCCGGACGAGAAAAGGTGTTGACCCGGAAGGTTTTGACCCCGACCAGATAAGGTGTTGCCCGAATGAGACAAGTTATCCACCCGTGCGAGAGAAGAGGTTTTGACCCGGACGAGAAAAGGTGTTGACCCGGAAGGTTTTGACCCCGACCAGATAAGGTGTTGCCCGAATGAGACAAGTTATCCACCCGTGCGAGAGAAGAGGTTTTGACCCGGACGAGAAAAGGTGTTGACCCGGAAGGTTTTGACCCCGACCAGGTAAGGTGTTGCCCGAATGAGACAAGCTATCCACCCGGCGAGAGAAAAGGTTTTGACCCGGACGAGAAAAGGTGTTGACCCGGACTAAAAACATGTGTTGACCCATACCACAAAAGGTATTCACCCGAACGAGAAAAGACACTTGACCCGTGTTTACGAGAAAAAGTTAGTCTCTGGCACGAGAAATCGTGTTGATTCTGACGAGAAAAGGTAATGCCCCGGATCCGGATCCGGGGTCCCAAGCTCGAAATTGGCGTGGTGATGGAGTGGTGGTGGTGCATGTAGTAGGTCCATCATCGGCATGCGCCTCCTTGCCCGTTCATCGTGTCTTCCTCCTGGCGACTCTACTTCCCAACTGTACTTGAAGTGGGATGGCGATGCGAGCAGGACAGCCGGGGTGTAGAAAAAAACGAAGAGAAAAAGGATCTCAACCATGGCCTATCGAGTTGAGTATTTAAAGGAGGAACTCAGCCACGCACTACTCTGTGAGGGGATAGTTCTGTATTTTTTTTTTTGTGACTTGCGTCTTTTTCGCCCGAAACCAACGCGGTGTAAGGGATCGGCTCGGTAGTGATACCGCCCACTTCCAGGCATACGAAGTAGTCAACCTATCAACGGCGACAATGTGTCCGATGCTCGGCTCTACTCGCTCCATCGAACTACACTCCAATGAACGTTTCCCCCAGCAATGCTGTGGCAGCGCCTCATACAACAATGCGCGCGCGGTGGATGCCACCACCGGAGGGACAAAAGCACAGGCCCATGGCATCTACATAAGTCTATCGGGCCGCAATAGCTACATGCAACGACCACCCAACGGACATAGAATACTACCCACCGCAAAAAAAAACAGGCATCGGATACTTCGGTACTGTACCCCCTCCTTTCGACACACCTCCACGACATGCCACTACCAATCTACAGCACGGGAGTTGAAGCAGTCCAGCAGCATCTCGACTGAAGAATGTGCGCACAATCACTCACCCAAAACCACCACCCATCATCCCAGCCGTACAACCCCCCCCCTTTCTCTGCCCCCCTCCGACTTGTACTACTATCGTTCCGTCCATCTTCCCGTCTCTGTGGACGCGGGTGGCGGACAACATCGGCTTTCGCCCCCCACTCCCACGTCGCTGTGCATGAACACAGCATGCTGGGATGGACACAGAGTGCTTCAATGGATTCACCATGCTTCGATGGACACAGCATGCTGGGATGGACACAGAATCCTTCGATGGATGCAGCATGCTTTGATAGACACAGCAGGGTCTGCGATGTAGGTAGTGGACCTCGAGTCGAGTCTGCCCCCTTCCTCTCCCGTCGGATACAACTGCGGCCAATAAGTGCACGATTGATTGCCCCCGCTCCCTCCGGTACAACAAAAAATATCCCGCGGAACCCCGCTTCCTCGACGTTGAACAACACACAGACAAGTTGAGACACGGCGCCGCTAAGAAATCCTGACGCGTTAGCATGAGCGGGGGGAGTGGTTAGCACCATCTCCGATCGTGCTGCCCAACCGCCAGTCGTAAAGAGAACAGAGAGGGAGAGAGAGAAAGAAAAAGCCAAGACATTGTACCGCAAGAGTTTGGCTACACACGTGTGCTGATAGGCAGCCTGCACATTACATCCGAGCCGAACGCGCTGCTCCAACAACCTCACACCACGTGCTTAGTAAACGTGTGTCTGCCCACTGCTGACTGGTTGCCGTGATTCACTTTCTCGCGATGCTTGTCGCCAAGTTGTGTGTATGACCATGATTTACTGTGCATGTGTCTCCCTCACGATGGACAATCAGCCCGTTACCTCAGTCCTCCCATGCAACCACGACAGTCGAGTTGGACAGGCCCGCCTCCTCTATGGAACTCCCCTCCTTGCTCCTATTCAGGGAAAAGACAGAAAAGAGAAGAGGGGCACGCGACGAAATACTCGTAAGGACAGATCTGTGGAACTGGTCTGTACTTCTGAATATTTGCTGCTATTGCTGTTGTGACTGTTGTAACGACTGCCCTGTCGTCTGGGCCGGTCCTTTCAGGCACACGAGCATGTGCATGACGCCGCACACTTACGATATGCGTACGTCGAGCACGGTCAAACCATATTGTATTCCAATACCTCACGGAGCAGGGTGGTCGCACGGTGCGCACGTCGAACGGCTTGGCCTTGGCGCCCTCAAGTTCCGTCCGGACGAAGAGGAACAGTTGCCGCACGTCGGAACTCTTGCGGAACTTTCTCAAGACCTGCTCTCGTGCCGCACGCACCGGCAAGCGGGGGAGCACGGCATCGCCGCCAACACAACCATGGAACGCGATAGCAAAGGCAAGGAAGAGAGGAAGGGGGCGGATTCGAAACTAAGCTCTGTGGAGACCGCTAAGGAACACACTCTCGGGGATGACCTTTCCTCTTGAAAAAAAAACAAAAACCAAAAGCAAACTTGACAAAAGCAAGCGTTTGTGCAAAACCT